GCCTCGGCCTCCCAAAGTGCTGGGATTACAGGCGTGAGCAACCACGCCTTGCCAAAGACCAGTCTTTAGAATTAATCCAATCAGATATAAATAACGGGGAAAAAAGTGAATAAAGCCTATGTGAAGAAATGAAACCTAAGACTTACAAGCATTCCTAAGGACAAAAAGAAAAAGCAATTAATTTAGAAAACATATTTGAGAGACTAATTCAGGGAAATTCTGTGATCTTGCTAGGGAAATAGACATCCAGATACAAGAAATTCAGAGAACATCTGTGAAATACTATACAGTGTGAATATAACGAAGGCAAATAGTCATCAGACTATCCAAGGTCAAGATCACCTATGAAGGAAATCTCATCAGACTAAAAGCAGACTTATCAGTAGAACCATTACAAGCAAGAAGAAATGAGGGGCCTATTTTCAGCTTCCTTAAAGAAAATAATGCCAGCCAAGGATTTCATTTTCTGTCAAACTAAGCTTCATAAATAAAGAAGAAATAAAGTATTTCCCAAATGAGTGCAAATTTGTTATCACTACACTGTTTCTATAAGAAATGCTCAAAGGAGTTGAAACATAGATACAAAAGAACAATACTCACTACCAGAAAAAGACAATACTCACATGTAAGAACAAAGTTCATAGATCCTATAAAGCAATTATACAATTAAGTCTACGAAGCAAATAGCTAACACATTATATCAGAAACAAAACCTCACATATCAATATTAACCTTGAAGAAAATGGCTTAAATGCTCCATTTAAAACATACAGATTGGCAAATTGGATTAAAAAAAAAAAAAGAAAGACCCAACCATCTGCTGCTTACAACAGATCCATATAATGAGTAAAGACACCCACAGGCTCAAAGTAAAGGGTAGTAAAAGATACATCACACAAATGGAAAACAAAACGAAAAAAAATAGAAAGTCATTATTAATAAATACCCACTAGATCTAAGAAAAGCAATAGACTGCCATACAATAATAGTGGAGGATTTCCACACCCCACTGACTGCACTAGACAAATCAGCAAGGCAGAAAGCTAACAAAGAAACTCAGACATAATTAGGATCTTGACCAAAAGGTGCTTATAGACATCTACAGAACATTCCACCCAGCAACCCCAGAATACACATTTTTCTCATCTATGCATGGAACATTCTCTAAAATTGACCAAACACTTGGCCATAAAGCAAGTCTCAATAAATTCAAAACAATGAAATAATATCAAATATCTTCTCAGATCACAGTGTAATAAAATTAGAAATCAATAGCAAGAAGAACTCTCAAAAATTACACAGGACATGGAAACTAAACAACTTGCTCCTGAGTGACTTTTGGGTAAACAATGAAATTAAGGCAGAAATCAAAAATATTTTGAAACAAATGAAAACAGAGATACATCCCCAAATCTCTACCAGACTAGGAAAAAAATAAAATGAATTTCCTTAATGCCTTATATTTATCTATGTATGAATGAATGAGAAGGCTTATAGGTCGTATATAAAGATCTGATATGGCAACAATGTTAGAAGACGATATAGCACTGTCTTCAACATTCTGATGGAAATATTAATGTATTTTTAACCTAGACTTTAGTTAACTGTGAGGATAAAGTAAAACCTTCTTCAAACATGCAAGTTCTGAAAAAAACAAAATCCTCCCAAAGACTTCTAGGAACTATAGATAAATGTGATCTGACAAAAGAGAGAAGTAAAGCAAGAAAGAAGATGTAAAACTAGGGTGGGGAAAGAATCCACCAAAGAAGAAAGGTATAGGAGACTCCCAGCATTAAGATAAAAGAGAGTTCTAAGGCTGACAGCTGAGCAATAAGCCTAGAAAACAATTCAGAACAGACCAAAAGGAGGAAGGATTTTAGGGGAAGCATCTCCATCTCTAGGAAAAAAAATAAAACAAAGCTGACATTAATTTATTCCATTCTCTGTATACAGATATAATGCTTAAGTCTTTTGTGCTTTTGTGGATAAATTCAAATAGAAAGAAAAGTAAACTGAAAACTTTGAGATTAAGATGACAATGCCCCTCAATTAAATACTACATAAGAAAGTAAATATAACCATAGAAGAGTAGCAAAATGTTCATAGATATAACAAACCCCAAATATTTCACAAAAACAAGATAAAATGATATAGCAACAATGAGGATGGGAAAAGAAGAAGTGTGTCTGGGTGTGGGAGTGAGGGGTTATATATTAGGTTGAGTAAATCCTAATTTTCCATAAAATGCTAGTTTTTCATAAAAAGCAATAGATTATTTTGTCCACTGAAGAATCATGAAATAAGAGAGTATGTTTGTTAGTGGGCTATTTGGAAAAGAATAAAATAAAAAACAAAAAATAGTGTTGCAGTAGTTGACTCTAGCATGGAGTGGAGTGGGGAAGTGACAGCAATTTTGTTGTAAACATTATAGTATTATCTTCAATAACATAATGTCTTATTGTTAGAATAATAAATGGATTTAAAATAAAATGAGTGACTTCATATCTTTAAAATATATTTGAGAAAATGATTTTAGCATACTCTTATTAGGAAAAGTTTCCTGAAAAACAAAATGTAATAATGTGTCCTTCAGTAGATATTTCTATTATAATTTATGTCATATGTCAGGCCATCAGAAACAGAGAGAATGGAATGACCTGAATTTCCAAGCTATGATAAGGCAATACTCAATTATTGTGACATAAATGAAATGCTAAAATAATATAATAATGAGACTCCTCCTGGCTTGATGAGAGAAATAGTTCTGGTTTTCAGGTTGGGCAGAGGTAGAGCAGACTACATGTTTGCCCAATTTTTTGTTACACTGAATCTCACTTACTCTTTGTATTTGGGCAAAATGCTCATGAAACCTGCCATGATGTGCTCTTTGTAGGGTAGCAGGTGGAGGGTAGAAGGTGGGAACAAAGAAAACAACAGAGTTGACTAACCTGCAGAGGCAGAAGTGGTAAAATCTAGTTGGTTAATTTTACCTTTTAGAAATTGAAGCCAGAGTGAATAGGAGAGTGAAAATAGACTAAAACTCTTATTTTATTCCAATGAAATTTAAAAGAGAAAATATTTTCAAAATGATTTTTACAAGACTGTGCTGTTTTCATAAATTCTTCCTATAATATGTTCATAGAGAACAATAACAATATACTATTTAATCTCGAATTTACATCATGATAAAAACATAAAATGTTGCATTCATATTTGCAACTTTTATAACACATTTGATTAAAAGTAACAGATTCAAGTGCTTGTTACTTTGCCTCTTAAATAGGTCTTGGGGAAAAGAATTCATTAGAAATCTCACTGGAAAGAAACTGTTGATATACGCTGCTGACTTCTGCCACCCATGCAATTGCTTACACAACATGGCAATAAAAACAAATAAGAGAACAAAATACAAAATCTGACAGTCTTTTAGGAAACTTGGAGCTAGAATGTGACATACAATTGTCATAATAACTTTTCACGGTTTACAGAATAACAGTTTCCAATGTAGTTTCCCCGGTTTATTTTTCTTGATCCAAACTACAGGCATAACAGTATTATTTTCCTAATGATATTTTTACATTTTTAAATGAAGACAGTGTAGTTAAATACCATTGAATACTCTTTTTAAGACTGCTGAACTTATGATGCCAACCATTATAAGGGAAAGCTAGTTATGATTTTAATTACATATAGCCTATATTTTAATAAAGTCAACATGTCTGGCAAAACATATTTAAAAGAAAATGTGGGATGAATGTCTGCTCTTCGGCTGCTCGGGGGCCAGTGCCCTATGCCGCGTTCTCTTGTGATCCCTGACCTAACCCGTCTCTTCCTTTTCCCCAACCTCAGGTGGAGCCACCACCAAAATGCAGATTTTCATGAAAACCCTTACGGGAAGACCATCACCCTCGATGTTGAACCCTCGGATACGATAGAAAATGTAAAGGCCGAGATCCAGGATAAGGAAGGAATTCCTCCTGCTCAGCAAAGAGGGATCTTTGCTGGCAAGCAACTGGAAGATGCATGGACTTTGTCTGACTACAATATTCAAAAGGAGTCTACTCTTCATCTTGTGTTGAGACTTCGTGGTGGTGCTAAGAAAAGGAAGACGAAGTCTTACACCACTCCCAAGAAGAATAAGCACAGGAGAAAGAAGGTTAAGCTGGCTGTCCTGAAATATTATCAGGTGGATGAGAATGGCAAAATTAGTCGCCTTCATCAAGAGTGCCCGTCTGATGAATGTGGTGCTGGGGTGTTTGTGGCAAGCCACTTTGACAGACATTATTGTGGCAAACGTCTGACTTATTGCTTCAACAAGCCAGAAGACAAGTAACTGTATGAGTTAACAAAAGACATGAACTAAAAAAAAAAAAAAAAAAAAAAAAAAAAAAAAGGTGAAGGTGTTCCCTGTGACATAAAAATTATCACTTAATATTTGTCTCATTTTCACATATAATATATGCTTAAAATATTATTTCTGCTTCAATATGTCAAATAATTGTTATACATTTGAAATTTCATGAGCTATCACACTAGTTGAATTAGTGTCACACCTATGTCACATGTGAGAATCACCAAATAGAATACATATAGTGCCCTACAATGGGAAATGGATAGAATTTTACTGTCATTAAAAAAAATTATCTGAAAATCTACTTCCAATATAACTAATATTACAAAAAATTATTAATAATGTAAACTATATTGAATTTAAATATCCTTGCAAAATTTGACAATTTTGATAGGCCAAATACGAAGCTGGTTTCTCCCTTTGTGAATTAAAAATTCCTCAATTTTACATGTTGGAATGGACACACAAGGATAATACTGAATCAATGTATTTTTAAAGAATATAACAAACTGTATGATGTTAGGAATTTTTATGACATTTGTAGAATGGTTTCATATTTTTAAGATAAATAGCCTAACAAGGTACACTAAACCTCTCTTTGTTTTACATCAAATATGAGGGAAGAAAGCACAGCCAGACAGTCATGATGGAGAGAAGAATCAATGCACTTTTAACAATGTGAATTCCAGATTCACAAAGACCCAACAGAAAACTATGTGGAAAAGATGAAAGCCTGTGCTCACCTTTGCTTTCATAAGTCTCTGAGGACATCTGTCTTGGATTCATTGGGTTTCAGAAAGCCCAGTGTGCTTGGGAGCGTTGTAAAACCAGATCCTCCCTGTCTCTTAGGATGTAATATATCTCTGAACGTTTGCTTGTGGTACTAGAGCCAAAGATAATTATTCAGAATCCTTTTGGGCTTCCTAAGGAAAAGGCTAGAGAGAGAGAACAAATAGCATGCTGCTGAAGTACAAATGTTGACGAAATGATAATGACTGAGACAGCATGTCAAGAAGACTTCTTCAGTTAATTCTTCCTACAGCTGGAAAAAAGTGCAGTTACCAGTTAGGCATCATTTGTATTGTTTACTTGCCAATTCTGAGCTATATTATTCTGAAACCTCAAATTTCTTAGAGGCCTTAATGGTTGTATGGGCTGTATCATAAAAGCATAGCCATAGATAACATAATGTAAGGAAAACCAACATTTTTCTCACTACTAAGTTTCAATCACTCAGTAGTTCCACCATTTATGGTTTCATTAAGTAGAAATATAAAGCTTCTATTATTATGCAACACTACCTAAGATGGTCAACATAGGAAGCACTGGAATTATTTTGATACTAAATTTGCTTTTCATAGAATTTAGACATCCTTTTAGCAGAATTCACTGGTAACGGAACCATAAACTGTTCACTCTATATGCTATTCCATAGAGGGGTAAGATGAATGTGAAGTATTCACTGCAGATGAGAGCTGGGGAGCAATATGGGAAGAAGGGGATAATGTAAGGGAAGACCAACTGAAGATAATCTCTGGGATAAGTCACAAGAAAACCCCCCTCAAGTTTACCTCAAATACTTGGACTGACATCAATAGAACTCCACATTCTCTGGAAATCTTTTATCTCTCAGATAATCGATTGGGTTTTTATACTATTTGATCACAATTTCCCACCATTGCGACTCCATATAGCTCTAACACGTTTGTTCTTTCATCTCACTTTTACTTTGTTCTTTTGTTCCCTAATCTGTCTCACTCCCTGCATCTCTTTTCTTATTCTCCCTCCTTTTTCTAATAATTACCACTTAAATGACTCAGGTTGCTAACATACTCAAATAATTTGCCCTTCTGCTCTTCCACTCCATTCATCTAGCAAAACTGCCTGTCTGGATTGAAATAATTGTTATTAATGATACAGCAAATAGTGGATCAAGGGAAGTCCACAAGCAATGAAAACTGATCATGTTTTTATGTCTCTGATTACATTTGGGATACCAGCCTTGCCCTGCACTAACTCCTCTAATCTCTTAACTTTTAATTTGAGCATCTTTTTTTCTTTCCATCTGTTCCATCCCTTTCCTCAGAGGCAATTTTTAAAAACACCAGATGAGAACCCACTCAACTTTCTGCCATCAAACCCACAATTGTACCCTTCTCTGAAAACCTTATTAGGGTTTTCTGTGGATTTGGATGCTGATTAGTGAGGGAGACCTTGGCTGGAAGGGGAATGACCTTGAATTTTCCCACAGAGCCCATCTCAGCCATGTTACTACAATCATGGCTATAACCCAGTCATGGTGCTGATGCTGGGAACATTTAATCTTTGTTTACCAACCATGTCAGAACCAAAACTATTCTGACAACTTCCATATTCTCCCCTCTGCAATGTGAGAGGAAGGGAAAGTAAGGGTTGCCATCAGTGGCTTGGGATTTACAAAACTCAATTAGTGGCTTCTTTTATCTGTGCTACAGTCTCCATTACCTTCCACTTCCCAATTCATAACTAAAAATTTAGGAATATTCGTGAAAGGACCCGCTCTCCTGGAGCTGCTGGTGATGTTGAGTCCTTCTTGACTGCCCAGCTTTCATGAACTCGTTGATCTGTTAACTGAAATCAACATTAGTCCTTAGGTCGTGCATTAGATATCTAAACTTTTTCATCCTATATATCTGCTATTTTTTTATCCTTTGACCTACATTTGCCCCTTCTCTCTCATTTCATTCTGTATCTCTGTTTAGTTGAGCTTTTTTTGTTCTTATTTTACATATTAGTGAGATCGTGCAATATATTTTTTCTCGCTTATTTTACTTAGCATAATGTCCTCCAGGTCTATCCATTTTGTGGCAAATGTAGGGTCTTCTTTTTAAAGGTTGAATAGTTATTCCATTGTGTATATATATATATACACACACACATACCACATTTTCTTTATTCATTCATTTATAGGTGGACATTTATGTTATTTCTATATTTTGGCTATTGTAAATAATGCTACAATGAACATGGGAGTGCAGGTATTTTTACAAGTTGGTGATTTTATCTCCTTTGGGTATATATCTAGAAGAATGATTGTCAGGTCATATGGCAATTTGATTTTTAATTTCTTAAAGAATTATTGTGAAAAATAGTATGGCGTTTCCTAAAGAAAATACAAATTAAATTTTCTTTTTAATTCAGATTTTATCAGAAAAAAGTTGGCTTTTGTCTTTATGATTTTAATTTTCTAAACCATGATTGTTTATTTGCATATAAATAATATCATTTAATTTATATTTGCTAATATGAAGTTTTTGTGAAAGTCATATTCTACCATGCAATAGGGTAAAGGGTAAATAAGTGCAAAATATGTGCCAATATGTGGAAGTGGTTCCTCAGAAAAAGTTAAAAATATAGGCTGCTGTAAATTAATTTTTACTTCTAGAAATAGAAAATCTTGAGAAAATTTCCCCTTAATTGATGGATTAATTATGCTTTAGTTATTAAAATATTCCTGCATTAAAATTTTTGTAACTCACCTCTAAAATTATTAATTACTTAAAACCAAAATTTATATAAACTAGTGACTAACTTATTTTGTGGCTTCACACTTGACATGCTGGCCACTTACTTGGATTTCTAACCCAACTAAATTACCTTTCTCTAAATTAATTCCTAAACTTAATTTTTAATGTGACCTGAAAATAAGTTTATGTACTTATAGAAATAAACAAAGTATACCACATAAATTTGAACACTGATTTTTATGTGCTATACATATTTGACCCATTTTTTTTTTTTCCCCAAAGTGTCTTTGAAAACTCTGGGAATTTCTTGAAATTGACAATTTTAGCTGCTGTTCACTTGGGTTCCTAATTATGTGGCATATAGATTCACATGAATCACAAAGCATCAAAAGGAATGTTTTATTACTATAGCCTCATGTATCAACTGACAAGTATTTGCTGTTAACTAATTCATTTTAAATCCCTGACAATAATCCACTGTTCTCATCTTTCAATGTTATCTGTTTTTAGAAGACGGCAAAAAGATGAAAGAAAAAATAGAAGAATAAAAGACATTCACTATAATATTCAAAGAGTAAAAAAGTTATTTCAAATAATAGAAAAATTACTATTTTAAGCATTGAGTATTACATGTGATGGATTTCTTTCTCTCTGGGTATGGTCATGTTATCTTGACTAACTTTATTGAAAGCTTTACTAATTCACTTTAAATTTTGTTTAAAACTGCAGCTCTACTTCTAGTGATCTTCCCATTTAATTTCTCTCCATGAAAACTGGAGCTTATGAGAAAGTCTTCAGTTAGAGTAATATTTGTTATATCAGAGACTGGAGGTATAAAGCAGTAGAAAAAACATAAAAATCTGAATATGGGAAGAGAGTTTTTATAAATTCTAGTTGTTAAAATAAGTCTTAAAAGGAGTACTTTTTGAATGCCTCTAATATTCACATTTTTTCTGTGAGGCTCTAGCAATCAGATTTCCCCAGAAAAATAAAACCAATAAAATATATCTATCTATCTATCTATCTATCTATCTATCTATCTATCTATCTATCTATCTATCTATCTATCTATCTAACATCTGTCATGTATCTATCTACATATCGTTACCTAGCTATCTATGTCTATTTATATATGAAGAGATTTATTTCAGTGAATTTGCTCACATTATTCCGAAGACTGGCAAGTCTGAAATTTGTTTGCAATTTGCAGGCTGGACAGCGGGAAAATCAAGCAGTAGTTGATGTTCTGGTCTTGAGGCAGATTTCTTCTTCTTATCAGGAACATCCCTGTTTTTGCTCTTAAGGCCTATCAAATGATTAAGTAATCCTCACCCATATTATTGAGAGCTATCTCCTATACTTAAAGTTAACTTGTTATAGATGTTAACCACATGTACCTTCATAGCAACACCTAGGTTAGTGTTTGATTAAATAGTTAAGAACTAACACTTGTCAATTTGACACATAAAACCAACCAA